AACAGAAGTGGAAGCGGCAACAGCCTGGTTGGATCTCGTGGTCCACACTCGGGGGAGTGTAAAGGTCTTCGTCCCTCGGGCCCGTAGGACCTTGAGGAGGGTAAAGGTCTTCGTCCCTTGGCTCCGAATGAGGTTGAGGTTCACGGTCTTCTTCCGGTCGAATGACTTCCTCAGGTTCACTCTCTCTGGGCGCTGGGCTACTTGACACTTGATTAACGTGTAATGTAGCAATCAAGAAGAATAGCACGGTAAAGGTGTAGTAAAAGGACTTCATGGTTGCTGAAACCTGGTGGGGATCCTTAGTATGGATTGAAGTGTGATCTAAAGTTGGTGTTGGGGCTCTTGTGAGAGCACTTTACTGTGAGTTATGGTGTTTGTGTGGGCTAAGCCTAAGGTATCTTCTTAACTGAGGGCCAAGAAGCCCTGGTTTATATCTTGTCAAAAGAGCATCTCAGACTCCAGGCCGTCAAAAGACGCTGCTGCCCGAGTGGTTTGGATGTCCAATGGGGCCGGTCCTCAAGAAGCCTTGGTTCCAGGCTATGAGCTCAGCTCTTTGACGGATAAAAATATCACACAGGGTCTGCATAGAACTTGAGATCGATTTGGAAGATGAAGAGTCCCTTCCTGGATTTGAAACATCTGCAAATAAATATCTGCAGAAGCGCTTGCGGAAGCTCTTGGGTGGGTAAGATGGTGGCCGTTCGGAACAGGCTAATGGGTTTTTGATGTCTCCTCCGTTGGAAAGCCGATAAGAAGAAAAACGAACGAGGGATTTGCAGGGTCGGGCCGTTTGGATGATACATAGGACAGGAGCTACTGATTAGGCAAACGGGTGTGGCGTAGTTGTAAATACGTCATGTCTGTTATTTCGAAGAAGAATCATACATCATCCGCTTCTATCAGATTATTGTACTCTCGGGCTTCCTTTCAGTCAGTCCGAGCTGCGATGAAACTGTGCTCGTTCGCATTGGGGATCTCTGAACAAGCAGCAGCAATCATTGTCCCCAGAGATTCCG